CCACCCCCAGTCCCCCTGCTAGCAAGATTCTGCTGGCAGTGTCACCAGGAGCGTGCAGGGCCACACACGCCACCACCGAGGCCACCCTCAAACTTGCCAGCCCCATCTGGGGGGACAACACCCACCATCGCAGCATCCCCATCCCGCTGAGGCTTGGGGTGCCTGCCCCAGACCCCACCCCCGGGGCAGAGCCCTCGCAGATGAAGGAAATCCTCCTCCTCCCCCTGCATCGCCCCGGCCTTTCTTCTCCGCTCCCCCTGTTTCTAATTCTTTTTCCTCACCCGTAATGAGGGGATTACAAGGCAAACTCCAGCAGGACGCCTTTGTGGGGAGACAATCTGAGTGGGGAAGGCAGTTCGGGGCTTTGTCCGCCGCCGCCCCCCCGGACCCGTGCTGGGGGGACATTTAGAGCAATTACTTGTCCAGAAAGTAACTGTCAATCATTCTTAAAGGGGAAGTCCTCCAATTAATAACCTCGTCTTAATCCTTTGGACTCATTTCCAATCTGCAGGGCCTTGGTGACATCTGCAACACTAAATAAAGATTCTCCAGAGCCTTAGTGCGGCGGTTCTGTGACACATAAGAAGACTAGAGGCAACTTTGGCTGCCCAAGGAGATTGGTGAGGTTGAGCCGCTTGTTTGGTTCCCAGGAGGGACCGGCAAAGTTAAATACTCCTGGAAAAGCCGAGTTGGGCCCAGCAGGTAACACCATTTTATTCCGATTCGGGAGGAAGTGCTGGGGGAAGATGCTGAAAAAGGGAGTGGGTGTCCCTGGGGTGTGCCCCTGGGGGCTTGGGAGCGAGTGCTGGGCGCCCCCAGTATCACTCGCACTGATTTACACCCAGGGCCGGAGGGCAGGAGCCACCCATGCTCCCCCCTGCCCACGCTGGCCGCTGCAAACAGCTTGTCCCAAGCAGCCTGAGCCCAGGGGGCCGCATCCTGGCACCCAGACAAGCTTTTGAAGGCAAGAAAATGGGACCCAGAAAAAGCTGGGCTTGTCCCCAGGCTGTCCCTCCTGCGCCCACCACTGCTGGGGGAGGCCGCTTGCCCTCGCTGATGGTCTGCTGCGTTTTGGCACTGGGGAAGTGATCTTTTTACCTGCTTCAACCAGGGCTCGATGCTGTTTCTGTTGCCTTTTCGGGTGTTGTTAAGAACAGGGCCCCCCTCCCCCAGGCTGGCAGCCCTGGCAGGAAAACCACAGGTCGGGGCATCGAGTAGATGGGGGGAAAAACCTTCCTGCGGTTTTGAGTCTTTGCGGTTCCCTGCATGTTTTTAAAGCTTAAGGGCTTAGACCCAAAAATTGCCGTACAGTTGACAGTGGCTGCAGGGAAATGTCCCATGGGGACAGGGGGCAGATCTCCTTTTTCGGGGATCTGCTCCCCCTGTGCCCCCGCTATTCGGTGGTCCCTGCTGCTAGGCAAGATTCCTGGAACGCTGACAGCGAAGGGTCGGGGCTCCCGGGCCCAGTTCCTGGAGAACGGGGACCATGGGATGGATGGTGCCATTGTCCCCCAGCCCCACCCGGCCGGGGTGCCCCCTGCATGCCCAGGGACAACCGTGACCCTGGTCAGGCTGAGGCAGAGCGAGGTGGAGGGGTGTGGGGTGTCTGGCCCTCGCACCCCCATCCCACAGTGTCTGGCTGCCGCCCTGCTGCCAGGCCCCTCTCCTCTTCATTCCCACATCTATTGCTCCTGCGCGGCTGTTCGGCTGTTGTTCCCTTCGTTCCTGCTCCCACACTGGGGTTTGCTCTGCTTCCTGGGGGTCTTTGGCCACCTTTGCTTTTGGATGGGGTCAGGGTTGGGGACAATGGGGGCTGCGCCCAGCCCTGGCCCTGACTTCCATCACCACACCTTGTCCCTGTCTTCTTGTCCCTGTCCACCTCGTCCCCTCACCTCTTCTCCCATTTGCCCCATTTCTCCCCAGCCCCATGCCGGTGCCCTGTCTCACACGTCCTCCCCAGAGCCCATCTCACCCATCCCCATTGCCCCAGCTCCCCCAATCCCCCCTGAGCCCCAGATCCCC